ATATTCTTGTGGCTCTCAAAATCGCATATATGCGATTTTGAGATCCACTAGAATATTTAATATTTATATACTCAACGACATACTATAAGCCATGTGTATTAACGATTCGATTTTATGACAATAAAAGTATTCTTTACAAAGGTCTATGCAACTTCTTTTATGTTTAATCAGTATCAAAACGTACATACATACACACACTCTTTCTGTGTTTATGATGACTTTAGCTTTTTATTGCATTTATCTACATATATCAGACCAGAAAAGTAACAGCGTCTAAAATTTTCAATTAAAATCTTTCATGATTGTTTTTAAAACAATAATTTCGAATAACATCCGTCATATGTTTTCATATACGTTGCTATGTGGACAGACAAATAGACAAACAAACTATTTATCTCGTAAGACTCTAACTTTCGTTAAGGGAAAAAATTAGTTAGTATTAAAAAGCGCCTATGATAACAAAAACATTTAAACAACTGGAAAGTCTGCTTAATATATCTTCACAGCGTTAACAGCTATAGAGATGATCCTGCCAGCAAGAAACGCCTATTTCATATAAACAATAAAAAGTGTAAAGGAGCCATTTGTCTACAGTGTGCCATTAACAAGATCTTCTTGACGACAAAAATTTCTTTTTTCCGCGATAGATAGTTTTTTTCGCATTTTAATACCCTCGCACATAATACCCTACTAGCTAAATAGCTAAAGCTATTTAAACGAGACAGAGTAGATAAAAATCTTTTTAGGTAACGTATAATCGAACTCCATAGTAAAGTAATATGTTTTATAAATTTCCATCTGTTTTTAGATGAGAGGTGTGGAAAAATCTTTTTCGATATTTTTACATAATGACCTTCGGACAGAAGTATTATACTGAAATAGAACTCATTCGCATAATTAATCAATGGTTTAATATAATTTTGGTCCTATTCTTATCGTTCATCTTGTTGTTTTTCGAATGTCAGTGGACTCATCGCACAGCGGACGCGTATCACAAAATGATGTAAGAAACTTTTCTCTTTCTGTTCGTATAGATTTTGCTAATTGAAAGTATGGAACGCAAAACTTTTATGGCAAATTATGATTCATCAACGGGAAAAAATGCGTTATCTTCATAGAGACGGAAAAATGACGGACGTCGAAACGAGTTGAAAACAACAGCATATAGATAGTTTTGTTCGCTTAACATGATTATACGATCGAAAAGACTGAAAAACCATGTTTTTGATCGAGAGATTTCTAAAAGTCTTTCAAAAAACCATAGGATTTTTAATTATTTTTTTGTAGATTTCTAAAAGTAGGTTAGAGAATAGCCTATATATGTACATTATAGTACATTTTGAAGTAAAGTCTGTTATAAAAAGGATGCTATAAAGTCTCGTCTTTCGAATAATTCACACCGTAAGTTAACAGCTTTTGTTCTCGAGTTATTAAAAAGACAACCATCACTCTCATAATCTGAAAAGATTGTTTAAACACTTTGCGCTAGAGATGCTCAAAATCACAGATTAGTTGTTCGAATGTCACAGAAATCGATTATTTTTTGTCGTCCGTTCTAGACAGAAATGATAGCCTATATAGGACGGGTTAAAAGTACTTAAGCGAATGTAAAAACTTTTTTTATTGCCGTATAGTACCAAATAAATAAACTTTCCCAATTAGAAAATTGTACCGTAAACACTTTTGCACAGAGTTTCAGGTAAGTCTCAACTAATTGAAACATTTCCATTTATGGATAAACGTGTATAGAAAAGAACTGCATTTGAAATTACACGTAGATTAATGTGAGGTGCCTTTATAATAAAATCCGTTCTAGACATTCTGACGCGTGTTCGCAAGTGAAACTTTTTTACGACGATATTAACGCGAAAAATCCACGCGCGGTTACTACACGTTTTTCGAGTTTTATTAGTGATCACGCGGCAGAAACGTCACATATATATTTTCGTGAACTATTCACATCTGCTCACAGTCGAATAACTTTTTCATGCGTGGTCACATCTTTTCACTTGTGACGACGTGCGAAAAATGTGATGGAAAAGAATTTCGTGCACAGTTCACGACTGATCACAAGCGGATTTTTTTTTCACGCGTGCAAACACACCATTTACGACGGTCACCTGCGCTTACATTACGTTTCACGACCTTTACGGGTTTAAACGCCGTGGTATCTACTAAAATTTCCCATGGGAGCAATAAGCGTCCTGTATTTAGAACCTGTGTCGTCGTGAAAACTAACCTTCTTTAAGTTACTATTGACGTCTTCAATTCTTGGGTATTGCTTGATATTGCACGATAAAATTGTGCATGGATTTTTCTAGTTTTATGAAAAAATAACTTTTTGAAAACATATTGTTTAACTATGATTGACTTGTACATTCTTGTTCGGTTTTCCAATGCTGTTTCGTATCATTGTTTTGTGCGACATAAGTTAAGCTACACATATATCAAGGATAAGTCTCATTTTTCACGCATCCTATCACGTCTAGTGCCAATGGTACTACACTATAGTGCAGTAAATATATCTTATTAGAGTAGCTCCGTTTGGGACGGACCGTGGTTATTGAAATAAACGTCGATTCGTCTGATGGATCGGGAGTAACCGACGGCTATTTCGATAACCGCAGCTAACCGTCGGTTTTCAGTAAAAAGTGACGATATGGATATGATTCTTGAGAAAAAAGATAATAATTATAGGCCCCGCAGCAGTTTTAAAATCATAACTGTAAACTTTGTACAATTTCAAGTCCATAACGAGGTATACTAAGCATTTAAGATCATAGTCAGAGAATACAGAGAATATAAAATCGTAGTAAGGCCCTAAACGATTTGAAGATCATTAATACATACTGAGAACGATTTTAAGATTATACATAGGAGCTTTAAGGTTATAACTCTAGATTCCACTAGGCAAACTTACTATCATAACTACTTTAATTAAAGTTTGAACATGCTGATTATGTTTAGAGAGTTCTTCGAATCGAAAAATAATACATTCCTTTTAACTTTATGACTTATATTCTTACGTGTCTCCGCCAACATTTGTTCGAGATGACATATCAAGCAATCATTTTTATCTCTTATTGTACACGAATGTTTCCATTGATATTGAATGACAATGAAAAATATTGCGATTTTATAGATGGAATTGAAAAGTTAATTGAAATCGATTTAATGACTAATTATACAATACAATTATTCGATGACTATTTCAATGCTTATATAGATTTGAATAAACAATATTTCGATCAAATGAAACAACGTTTATTTTCATCGAAATTATTAATACATAAAATTTCATTTAAAATAATTAAAAATACATTAGACGAACAATATCGATCGATTGAATTTAAACGCAGGTTTCATCAACACAACGATCAAAATGAAAAGAAAAGAATCAAACTTAAAGAATATATCCATATCGAGAAAGAAGATATTGAATCTAATCTGAAGAAATACTATAAAAATGAAGTTGAAGATGACGATAAAACGTTGCTAAATAAAGGAATGGAACCAAAAGAATATATTGAAATAACTGACAAAATCCTTGAAAACGCTAAACCAAAATTCATAGAGTACTCAACAGAAAAGTAGTTTATGATGTCGATGATAATTATGTTTTTTTTGGAGTATCCATCAGACATACGAAACATATAACTTTTGATTCGAAAACTAATTGTATCAATTGCAAAAATATTTTTGTATAGATATTATTAAAATCTTACTTAGCTCACTGGTATAGTTCTTGTCCAGTCGAAAAATGAATCGTAAATTGAGCGATAGATTGAAACTAAGGCCATCCAATTAACTCCGTAATAATCGCACTATACATTTGTTTTGATATAGAAATTATGCTTAGAAAATTTTTTTGTAAATTTTTCAGACTCGGCTAGTTATCGAAATACAAGGTATCTTTTGAATTTAAAAACAATGTGAAAAAAATCGTGGCAATTATTGAAGTATACAAAATAGTGGAAAATAAAAACGTATAAATAGTTCGAATCAAAGGCATTTTTCCGCTACTTCGGTGGATGCAAGCTGCACCTTTATTGATTCTGAACCAACTGTCTAGTATTTGTGTTCGAGAAAAAGAAAATTATCTCAAAATATTAGTGATCATACTGATCACAGGAAAACGAAAAGATAACTGACTCGATGAAGAACGGCGATCATCAACAGACCATGTTTTTGCTGTTCATTAACGGTGTAAAAAAAGATACTAGTGCTAAAAAGGCAAAATACGTCTTTACAAGAAATTGCCTTTAATTTTCGATATAGGGCTTCTAACGTAACACTCGGGGAAGTTGTCATATTGACGAAGATATCTGAGTATATACGCTCAATCAATTCTGAGAAAAATTTTACGATATTAAATTCGGTGTAAAGAGCGTTGAATAATTGTCTACAGAGTCTTTAAGACTAAGAGTTTGAGACTATTGTCGGTAAAAAAAAGGAATGGACTCGGATGTTTCTTGAATAACGTTCGATAGGAAAGTGGTAGATGCTTGCTGTCTTCACCAAGTGAAAGCCAAGACCTGCCTGCATCTTTTCATCGTAAAGGTTATTTTCAAAATCTTTTCCTGAAGTAGGTCTCTCAGAGGATCTTTGAAAAACTATACCATAGCTCAAAAACTTGAAATACAAATAGTCTGATTTTTTTCATGAATAGATAGTCCAAAATGTCCTCTTCAAAACGGCAGTCAAGCGAGACCCTCATCTTTGAACGTTTAGGCCTGGTATCGAATTTCTCGGGAGCTCTATGACTGGCCTTTTTTCACATGTTACAACCTCAGAAATGACTCTAAACAGGGGTTATCGACTACGCTGAATCTCATGGCAACATTTGTTTTTACAAAGAGTTCAAAGATCTGCTGAAAAATGAGTTTTATAAAAACTGAGATTTCAAGTTTGTTTTCATCTAATATTAAAAAATTTACAATTCACTCAAAAAAAACTCAAAACGAGATGACAACTTCAGGATATGGCTGAATTTGTCTGGTACACCTGCTTATACCATCGAAAAAGTGGAAAGCCATATTTTTGCTCAAAAATCTTTACCAGAATCCTGTCGTAAAACCATCGAATTTTGTAAAGCTGTTTTTTTAGGTTTCTTATAACTACGATGTAGAATAGCACAAATACTCTACATTCTGAAGTTTGGGACTCGTCCTATTGTTTTTTTGAGTGAATTGTAAATTTTTTAATATTAGATGAAAACAAACTTGAAATCTCAGTTTTTATAAAAACTCATTTTTCAGCAGATCTTTGAACTCTTTGTAAAAACAAATGTTGCCATGAGATTCAGCGTAGTCGATAACCCCT